AGAGTCCTTTAAAATATTTCCTCACAAGCTTTGAAGTTGAAAGATGGGACTTTCGTGGCCATTTGAAAGTTTTCATGATCAACTTAGTATTTTGTACTCAAGTTGACATTATGCAAAAAGTTCGAAGGTATAAAAGTGAGAGTCCAATGGAACACATTGTTAAAGTAGAGTACTTTTGTACCCCCCACAATCCAAAAAAGTAACACTGCTTGCGACACCATATTTATTGACTGATACTTTTGTATTATTGACGTTTGATTGGTGGAGACGTGTTGATATATTGAACATTCATTTTAGAGTCTAAAGAGCTTTTATGTTTTCGGTTTTAGAGGGAGAGTGAGGAGAGAAGTTCATCTTCTTTCACTTTTATTGTTGAGAAAGTTTACATCCTCATGGTTTTATAGTTTAAGTTATCCCTTATTTGATAGATGATTTCTTGTGTATTCGCGTGTGAGATTTTTGGATAGAAAATATTCTAGTGATTGAAAAATTCCTGAAGTGATTTCTATTTATTTTTTTATGGGTTTTCATCTAAATTGAAAGTGCAGTGCAACAAAGTTGTTGGATTTGTAAAGTTGCTTCCATCTAGAAACTATAAAATCAATGGTGATTTTTTGAGTTTGTTGAGTTTGTTGAAGTTGATTTCAGAGTTTAATTCACGAGAAATTTTGTGCATAAGGATGATAAGTTATTATTTTACCACTCAGAATAAGAGACTCAAGAACTAAAGGTTGAGGTTTTTTTAAAGTTGTCATTGCGAGGAAGTTCACCACATCTCATGGTAATTATTAGATTAATGAGTGTTTGTGATTTTTTTTGTGTTGTCTCAAATGATGGTTATGGTAATATAACTTGCTCATATTGCACTTATAGTATAGTGGATTAACAGGGGTTGGTAATGTAAGCTTATGTTGTTATGTGGGTTGCATATACAAAATTAATTAAAAAATTTCTTTGGATTTTATTTAATTTTATAATTAAAGTGTTTAGACTTCATACGAGTATAAGTCACTGTGAATGTAATGTTGTTTTTTTTGGAGGGGGGGGAGGGGGATAGTTTTAAAGTAAAGTCGATTGTTTAACTGTGTGATTATTATAGCTGTAGATTTTATTTGATTTTTTTTAGCACATTAATCATATTTTTGGTTCAATATTTGTAAAGTTAAAGCTATTGAGACTCAATTTTTCTATTGTTAAGTATCCGAAATTTCACTTTCTAAAACTGCGGTCGTATATAATCTACTTGTATGTGTACCTTGATTATATTATTAAATCTCAGTAGAGATCATAAACGTTTAATTTCATTCCAGATACCCGTATTGTTGACTAATATTTAATTATTTTACAGAGCCGGAAAAACATACAAATCGTTAGTATCTCAATTTGTCATTTCGTTCTTAAGTCCAAAAATTGAAGAATAATATGTCAAACTAATACATTAAATCAATAAAGCTGACCCTTTTTTAACATTTTCTAGAATGTCCAAAGATGAGGCTATTTTGACATTGGTTGCAAGCGCGGCTAAATGGCAATTCATCCGTATGACGAGTTAGGCCGGGAGAACAATAGTGTGAAGACGTACTGAGGTAAAATTGTTATCCTAATTTTAGAAAGTAATCCAACCGACGTGTAGAATTTGATTCGTAACATGCATATGGTGTGTAAGTTTGTATATCGAATTGATGGTCCCAATAAATTTATTCGGAATTGTTTTAGTTGTCGGGATTGAATTAGAGAAAATGAACATAGTACATATAGATGTTGTTCGTGCATAAAGCACAGTGACTCACTGATTATTTGTTGCTGCTTTTGTGAATGGTTTGAATGTGGCATGGTGTTTTTATAAATTCATAGAAAATATGCATGATTGTCTACGACATAGCCCCTGACTCCCTACGACATACTCCCAAGAGAAATAGATATATCCATGTATGTTTTTCCTGTACTCATTAATTGTGTGTTTATGCAGATTGCTTACAAGAGATAAGACATTATGTTGTTTCTTATTGTTAGTTTGTTAAGATATTCCTAACAATTTTGATTTTCTATGTGCGATTGGCTTGCTTTTAGAGAGATTTTTTTTTTTTTTTTTATGCGGTTGTAATATTTTCGATAGAATACTAAATACTCGCCATTAGAATATATACACTCATACATATTGATGGTGCACTCACAGTTTTTTCCAAACTCAATTCACATTGATGATCTTTCTATTAAAGTTCTAATTTTATATTCGTTAGCATCCAACCTTGTCCATATCTAAAATCTGAAATTCAGAACCTAGAATTGGGTACAATATATATGTATGAATAGCTTTACAATGTCAACAATAATGAATTACAAAAGTGTGTTTTTTTTTGCCAAAATATTACATATTTTCCTAAAAAAATTAATATATTGCATACATTCATTAATATATTATACAATTTTTTATACCTCACATAAAAAATATCCCTTCAAATTATTTAAAAAAATAAACACACCTAGTTCAACATTTGTTGACTAAATACGTCGCCGCTTCAACTTTTAATATCGTATAACTTAGGATGACATCGAACGTAATCTCACTAATTTCCTTTACGCAATCCCATTTAGAGGATTCTTTGTTGCTGTAAGAACTCAACTAAATTCAAAGATACCTTCTACTTTATGGATAATATCTTTGAAATATATTTATATTCCTAAATCCAATGTTAATACGTGAGTACTTTATTCAGGTAATTAAATACATTATCTTTATGTCCTATTTTATTTTTCACATACCCATATATGAATTTTAAATACTCTGAATACGCATACTTATGCCCCTCAACTTGGGAAACCGATCGTTTTGGGAACCATATAATTACTCATGATACTTTTACTGGGGTGAATTCCACATGATAATATTCTTACTCATTCCTGGAGAGTTTCTAAAGACAAAATGTACACACTTACAAGAATGTAGGGAAGACCTCACACAAATACATCAAGTGTCCGTAGACAGTAAACCAAGTGACAAATATGTTGATTAAAATATTAGCCGTTATTGGGCTACCTAGTATTGCTACGAAATTTAATCTATTGATGCAATATGAACTCATTCACACAAAACAACATAAGACGAATGTACTTCTTACTTAAAATGCTGAATTGCAATCTACTATTGGGATCCACGTATTAAGTCAACCATTTCTCTTCAAAATTATTAAGAATTAAAACATAACAAGACGATCTATCGGACACTCGCAAACTCAAGTAAAAACTGTCCAATAGCAATTTATAAACAATAACTTGGTTGAAGAACCAAGTTCTCTATCACGCCTCTGATGTACCCCGTCTTTAATTTAATGTGTCATTTTTTTTCGACATGTGTATTTAAACTCCACTTTGAGGTACTTATAAATTTTAACCTTACGAAGTAGGTAGATGCATATTATAAATTTATAATAAAATATAATTTCAATCGAGCAATCGATTATATTCCGTAAAGAAAAAATAGTTACTTAATAACTTACCTCCATGGTTTTCAACGTCGAGTGTCAATTTTAAATTTGATTAAAATCTTATAATAAAATTAAAGGAAAACTATTTTTTTAATCTATATATGAATCTTATCATTTTAAAATCATAACTAAAGTCTGTATTGAAATAATCTTATAGTTAAAAATAAAAAATAAAAATTGACAAAAATGATTTTCATGCACTAGAGTTGATGCCGCGGTAATATCATGGTACGCGGAAGATGATGTAGATGACACGTAGAAAATATTTGAGAATCATTTTAGACCACAAGAGACCATATATTGGATTAGTCCCATAACTAAAAAATTGACATAAATTATTTTCAAATGTTGTCCGGGTATCATCTACATAACCTACAGCGTGTCACGATGTTGCCACTTTCCACATCAACAACTCCGACGTATGGTGATCATTTATGCCAAAAAATTTTTAATTGTGAAATTAATTCAATATATAATCTAGTTATCATTCTAAAATAATAATAATAATAAAAATAAAAAAATAAAAAAGTAAAAATAAAACTCACATACGAGACTAATAAATAATTTTTATAAATTAATTGAAATATACTACTCCATCCGTCCAATAACTATTGTCTTATTTTCTTTTTTAAATACAAATTTTACATTTTTACCCTTTCATTCATTTATTACTTTTAATCTCTACCATGCAAATATGGGCAAATTTGTCAATTCATAACGAAAAGACAATCACCTAAAAAAACCGTGCAAATATATTTTAGAACAATAGAAATTGGACGGAGAAGTATAAAATTTTAAACTCGAACCCATACCATTAACACCGGAACAAATCCTGCCTTAAATGTCATCCTTTGTCTGATCGAGTTTACGCATGCCCATGCCCATGCCCATGCCCGTTGTTATCCCTATTTGATGTCATCGTCATTATCTTTCTTATTATCTTTTCAATTTTTATTATTTAGGGATGTACTTCATTGTCAGCTTCCATAATTTTCACTTCCAAATTCAATCACTTGGCTAAAATATTTCTAAAAATTGGTTTTCATATTGGTGCAAAATAAAAAGTTTTAATCTATTTACTTTTCTTAATAATACTCTCTTTATTTTGATTGACTTTAATATTAATGTGCAAAGAAAGGTAAAAAGCTAATTTCACTTTTTTTTAAAAAAAAAAATTTACTTTTTCAAAATTATCAAATAATTATTTAAAATTATTTGATAATATAACATCAAATATCACTTAGAGTATACCCCTACTTTCATTTTCCATTGTCATAAAAAGGCGGCAATTAGAGAGTTGATTTGGTTAAATCAACAAACTAAAGTAATTAGCAAAATTAGCAAATCGTCACGGGATAAAAAATATGTTACTTAAGTTGGCATATTAACTTAAAATAATTAACATAAAAAATATATTTCTATTATTTTACTATAAAATAAAAAAATTACCTATTTTCATTAAAACCCAACAAATATGAACTTTTTTTTTATAATTTTTAAAAATTCCAAAAACTCTTATAAAAACTATAGCCTAATTTGTATAAAAGGAAATTGTATTGTACATAAACTATTCCTCTAACCAACTTAACACTTTCTTCAGAAAGACAATAATCTGTAGTGACAAAATGAATCGGGCTACAAAAACATGCCACCAAATTTGTAATATTTCCGCAGCCTATATGACCTAATAATGCACGTACGTATGTATGTCTATATGTATATGTACATTTCAAGAATGCAAAAAACAAAGGAAACTACATTCCCTTTCACTGAAATTTGGAAAAGGTGTTATGAGAGTGAGGCTTACCAGAGCTTTGTTCCATGGGTAGTTGAGGTCGAAAAATACGTCCCCTGCGTGCAACCATGCCGTCGTATCGATCCCAAGTGCCACTTGTTCCTACGAACGAATTCACGTGTAATTCATGCCTAGTACCAGCTGACCACGCATCCTGAAAAGGCACGACGTTTCTTGTGAAGAATAGTACACAAACTTTGCACATATGGAAGAGATATGGAAGAGATAGCGTATCGATTGTATATTATTATTATACCTGTTGATGTCTGAAGCTGGGAATGAATGATGGAGTTGTATCGCCAGCTCCGGTGGGTGGGAATGAACTGCGCAAGCCGTGTTGTCGAGGAAAATAAGAACTTGGTTGGCTGCTTTGCCATGGCGGATTGGATCCATGAGAGATGTAGTGGTATGAGCTGTGGTGCTCCTCTTGGAGGATTGCGCCGGGAAGTGAACTTGGATTGAATTCCGGGTTTTGGGGGAAGTGGAAAGTTGGTTGGGCGCTGAATGGCGATCCATAGGATGGAGTACAGATTTCATGTTTGAGATTTGGGAAATGAGTCGGGGTCGAGAAACCTAGCTGTGTTGTCATCTGAATGTCTTCGACTGCTATTCCTTGCTTTGCCCCAAGCTCGACTATTTGCTTCTCGTCAAGTCCTGAGCTCATTATGAGGTTCCATAGCTTTCGCTGTGCTTCTCTTTGGTTGCAAATAATTTGATCTCTTATCGCCATTTCGAACTGAAGTTCGGTGTTGCTGATTCCCTGTAACGAATAACGGTAGTGTCCATGGTTCGGGTTTTTGGAAAATCAGAATGTACTCATGAATTAAGAGAAAGGTTGAAGAAAATTTTACCAGCAGTTTGTATTGGCTGAGAATACCCAAATAGGTTTTATTTCCGTTGTTTCTAATGGCTTCATCGATCATATCTTGCAGTTGGTACCTTCGATTCTCATTTGTTTCGATTTCCTGGATAAAATGGAGAAGCACAATGGATTTGAGAAGACGGTGAACAGGTTATAGAGATATGGACTGATCTGAGACACAACCTTTTTATAAGTGACACCGAGTTCATCATTGTCGCGAATGTTATCAAGAATCACTTGACGCCTTGCTTGCAAAGCCTGCAAGACAGCTCCGTCGTTTTCAGAAACCTGAAATCATAAAATAAATGTTATGTGCTTCATAAAGAGTCCATCGTCCGATACGAACAAGTAACTAAAAATCTGTTCGACCTGATGTTTTGCAATAGCATCATCAAGGTGTTGGAGTTCCTTTCTGTTACGAAGGTTAGTTTCTTCAAGCTCAATTATGGCCTTTTGTAGATTGATCCTTTCCTGGACGTTTTCACTTGTTTCTTGGCTCAATGCGTTCAACCGAGAGATTTCATCCTCGACTACTATTTCAGCAGGTTTCGCGTTAAGCTGGGACTCTTTTTCAGCTAATTGCTTTCTTAATTGGCTAACCTCATGCTGCAAATTAAATAGGTTTTCCATTGTATGAGATAGCAACTCGGGTCCAAATATCGCTATGATGAGATTGAAATAATTACCTGAAGATTGTCGATCATTTTCTGGTAGTCCGATACATGAGCATTTACCGTGCCTATATTTTTCTGTATTTGTTTTTGGATGACATGTTATTAAAGATATTCAGATGGATGTAGCAGAAAAAAAAAAAAAAAAAAAAAAGAGATCGATTCTTAAACAATTAGTCTACTTCATATAAGCTTGACGCTTCTCGTACCTGAATATGTGTCTTGATTTCCTTTGCGCGATCAGCATACTTCAAAGTATTGACTGTGTGGTGATACTGATTATCAGCCGGCGAGATGGTGGCAATCATTATGGTTTGAGAATTACCGCTCAGACCGTCTTTAAGTATCCGCGTCAACTTGCTGAAGAGGATTCCGGGTTTAGCATTAGCAAAACACAATGAAGAAGAGAATTACGCCCGACACAAACTAATAGAGACTGAAGATAAGAGAAAAAACGAGACCTATTGCGGTATGGGACATAAGCTAGACCCTTCTTATGCTGCTTTCCCAAAGCATTTATGCAATTTGCTAGAGCAAGAAGGGATCGATTAATATTGGCACCATCTCTCAGCTTTTGGCCCATGCTGTTTGTCTCAGATGCTCGTTCACTGCATTATAGTTCTCACATTCAAATCTAGTACTTCCTACTAATAGACATTTTAAGTGTTCGGCGTCAAACAAAGAACGGAGAAGCAACCTGCCAGCAAGATCCACCATTGCAAGTTTTCCTCTGATAACCTGGTTGGGATACTTCTTTTGCTGTTTTCGCAACACATTTATCTCTAGAACCGCATGTGATCTGTCAGATTTTAACGAAAAGGATAGTCAACAAGCAAGCGCCAATCCCTTCAAAAGTAATCATTATATACTTGACAAACATTTGAAACAGAGAAATCTACTATGTAAATAGGAAAAAGTATGGTGCACAAATGGCTGATGGGTTGTTTGAGCCCGTAAAATCGTAGAGGGATTGTTAATTAATTCAATGCTTAGAAGAAGCATAGAATCACCCACCGTGAGGAAGTTTCGTTAACCTCTGTGCTTTCAGTCTTTCGTCTACTATTCCCCAAATTCAAGAGTTCGAGAATCTTATTAGCTGAATTCACCTGATACATGAAGTAACACACAAAATGAGGAATGCTCGTTCAGTACTTTAGTTGAGAGCACACTCTGAACAACAAGAACTGGAAACTTCTGCAGCATCACTTTACATATGTAGAGTTGAAATGTACTGATGTTGATTTATTGGTTTTATTTTTATTTATTTATATTTATCTTCTAGAAAACAAATTAAAACATGGAATTACCTTAATACTTCTTAGTCCAGCAACAATTATCCCCTGTTCTGGATCCTCCCTAAGTTCTAAATGGCCCGATGATTTTTCAAGTAAGTCGTATATTACCTTCAAGAAAAAATAATAATAATAAGTTATGTCTATCAGTTACCAATCAAACTTACTTTAGTTATCTGAAAAGAGATATGACGAAAACTAACCTCGTTGTACACTTCAAGGTACGAACATGAAACTTCAAAATCATCGGAAGTGGTGTCCTTCTCTATCAGATCAAATATGGTATTAAGACTGAGAACCATAAGTCCGGGATCATCTCGAGTTCCAACCATGGTGTATGTTTTGCCACTAAGGAAATTCAAAGAACACTCTAAGAGAAACATCTATACAAGATGCTTACATAAGCAATAACCACAGAACGGCTGATAAGAACATAAGCTCGTGAAATTAATAGACACCACCAGGTTCTTTCTCATCATTTTGACTAAGATATTACTGCACTTTATTCTTAAATTTAAAATTTACCTTCCAGTAGAACCATAAGCAAATACAGTGGCATTGAGGCCTTGGACGACCCCAGTAATCGTTGAACAGATACTTCTCTCATAAACATCCTGAAAAAGAGAAGTTCCTTCATCAGTTATTTTATATTACCAAACGATCCAATAATCCACAACAAAACACCTAACCACATTGTGCTAGTTAGTATAAACCATACGTCTTCAAATTTTATATTACCAAACAATTTAATAATCCACAGCAAAACACATAACCACATTGTGCTAGTATAAACCATACGTCTTCAAATTTTATATTACCAAACGATCTAATAAGCCAGAGCAAAACACCTAACCACATTGTGCTAGCATAAACCCGTCTTCAAATTTTATATTACCAAACGATCAAATAATCCAAAGCAAAACACCTAACCACATTGTACTAGCATAAACCATACGTCTTCAAATTATATATTACCAAACGATCTAATAATCCACAGCAAAAAACCTAACCACATTGTGCTAGTATAAATCATACATCTTCAAATTTTATATTACCAAACTATCTAATAATCCATAGCAAAACACCTAACCACATTGTGCTAGTATAAACCATACGTCTTCAAACTTTATATTACCAAACGATCTAATAATCCACAACGAAACACCTAACCACATTGTGCTAGTGAAAACCATAAGTCTTCATATGTTACATTACCAAATGATCTAAGTGCTAGTAAAAACCATGCGTCTTCATATTGGCCTTTTCAAGTTAGAACAATCTAAACTCAATTGACTGCAATGTCAGCCACGATTAACAAGAGCATCCGATTCAAGACAAGGTCTTGGTTAAATTAGCATGCAGGAGGTTTAGCTAACCAATACATGGAGATTAACAAACTACTTCACAAATCCAACACAAATCATGAGCCACCACCAACCAAAAATAATAATTGCAGATTAGACAAACCAAATTCGAAGAATCAGGAGCAAATGCATAATCGAAAGTGTATCTCCTCTCCTTGGTTCGATTCTGTCTCCTATCAAGGTAGTCCTTCGAAAGGTCAGGATCCAAAATAAGCACTTCCTACATTAACCATTAGCAAACACTTTCATCCACATTAAAAAATGCACATCTTCAAAGTCACAATCAAGACAATTTACAGACCTTTTCATTGTGCACTCTAACTATATCACGACCACGTTCCCTCCCAGTTAGCGGCTTGCATTTAACAGCCACCTGTTAGTTAAATCATCCGAATGAATGATTAGATATTAAGAATACTTTCCAAATGTAGCTTCTTAACAAGATCAAGGGAAAGATTACACTAACCGTGAGAGTGGTGGTCTTTTTAGCAGCTGGAGCTCTAATGCTTGGCATTCTTTCCTTACATATATTCCTAACTAAAAGCTCTTCTTGAAGCTCATACAATACATCATAACAACATATTCCTACAACAATCGTGCGACAAAGTCTTACTTCGGGAAAACCGACTAGTGATCAATCACAGACTCGAAAAAGCTGGTGTTGAAACATCCGACACACTAATTTTCTTCAAAAATGGCAGGAAAAAAAAAACAAAAACAAAAACAAAATCAAAAGCAGAAATCGCGCCCACGCTAAAAATTGGAACAAAGCAGAATCAGAAAACCTAGGCTTGAACTAAACACGACTCAGGCAAAGAAGAAGCGATTCCAACGAGCAGCACTGCCATCGCAAAGACCATTCAAACAAAAAAAATGAAAAAGAGGTTTAAAAGTGCAAATTCTTCAAAAGAAACCGCACAACCATCGGCCTCGACGTGCACATCTCAACGTCACCCGTCATGAGAATCACCGATTCTGCTGCAGCTACAGCTGGATTCCAAAAAAGTAGGAAAACGTACGCAAGGCGATTGACCTAAAAATCAGAAAACGGCAAGCCAAGACAATCCAAAATTTGAAAGCAAAGCAGATTTGGGAGGACGTGTAATGAATGAGGTGAAGGCAAATGACGCAGAAGAATGGAGAGGGTAGTGCATTGATTAAGACGAATTGAATGCCGGCCTTGCCCGTTGACGAGGCTTCTGTGTTTCTCTTTGTTGGTTTCTGGAGAAGATGAACCAGGAGACAACTACACAGCATTCAATATTTTATTTTATTTTTTTATTATATTTTGTAAATATATTATATTAATATATAAATAGATTTTAAGAGGTTTTTTTAAAAAAAAAATTCTTAAACTTTATTTTTTTAAAAAAAAAAAAAATAGTACTCTATCAATCCCATGTAATTTGGTGTATTATTGTAAATATAAAAATTTAACTCAAATATAATTAGCAAAAATAAAATATATTAGTAAAAATAATTATAGATTTTAAGATTTAAGATTAATTAAATAGTTTAATTAAAATTTAAAAAAATTTAAATTTTAAATTTTAAAATGCAATTAAAGAATATAATTATATTTCTAAAAATATAAATAACAAATTTCGCAAGAAATGACCTGACCTAGTGGTACATGGGTTGGAGTTGTGATCGTGAGGGCACGGGGTAAATCTCTCTTATTTTTCATTCTTGCACTTAAATTCTATGTTTTTTTCTCTTCATAAAAGTAATTCAATTTCTGTACTGTATATTTCAATTTATTTTTATCACGAGAATTAATCCATATACTTTTTTTTAGTATGTCGGAGAATCCAATTATTGTCGATTTCGACTGACCTAGAATTTTTGGGCCGTCATCGACGAATTTTAGCGACAACATAATATATTTCTTCTGTCTTACATATAATGTTACATTTTTATTAAGTTCGTCTTATATCATCTCATGTCATTTCACTTTTTAAAAAGACTACGTATTATAATTATATTTTATATTTTATAATTTATAATCTTTTAATTTTAATTGAACTAATTTATTATCTTAATCATTATAACGTAACTTATTTTACTAATTCATTCTTAATTAATCCTTCTGTGCCAAATTTATTTCTATTTTTCTTTTGAGTCCATCAACTAAATTTATTTTATTACTAATTTTGACAAAATCAACAAATTAACATTTAATTATTACCCAAATATCACTAACTTTATTACATTTTTTTCTCATTTATTTACTTTTTAATTAAATTTTCAAAAATACCCCAAATTACCTCTCATTTTTTTCAATAAAAATATTAATTTTTTTTAATTTCTGTGTACGGCCCAAATGACTAATTTTAATGAACGGAATGAGTATTTCATAATCATATTTCTTCTAAATTCTCATATCTACGGTAAGTAACGACGATGTTACATCGGGAAGAAAGTAATATACAGGTTGTGTTTTTCAGTAACTAATTTTTTTTTTTAAGTGTATCTTTAATAGTTTTTTATTATTTGAATGATAAAGAATTGATAAAAAAAGATGATGTTATAAGTAGGGGTGAGCAAAATATCTGAACGAACTATCAAACTGTTGAACCAAATTGAATCGAATCGAATTTTTCGTTAATAGAGTAAATTCAGTTCAAATATAAATATTGCATATTTGATATTTATTCGGGTCGATTCGATTTCGATTTTTAACAATTTTCTCGGTTCGATTAGCCGAATCAAATATATTTATATATTTATAATATTATATTTTAAATTTTAAATTAATAATTATATTATATTCAAATTCGATTCGATTTGATTCGAAATATCTGCAAATATTTTTATTTAGTTGAAAACTAAATAATTTTTAATGTAATTTTTTCTTTAATTCAGTTATGTTCGAATTATTTGCAAATACTACAAATATTTTCGATTAACCTAAAATTCTAGTTCGAATACAGTTTACAGTTTTGAGTATTTATACGATACGATTTATATACCAAATACATGTACATTTGCAAATATCTGAATCATGTCCACCCCTATTGATAAGTAGAAAAAGTAGTGGCGAATTGGTTGTTATTCTTTACGAGGATAATAATATTGTGAGTGAAGTCGTTTATTATATACAGAGGCGAATCTACGTTTTGCCCAATGGTGGCACGTGTCACCGGTGATTTTACTCTATAAAGGAAATTTTATATGATTTATTAATTATGCTACAGTAAAAAAAATTGCAGTGCCTCCAATAAAAATTTAAAATGTGTTGTAATACAAAAATTTAAAATAAATTATTTAAAATTTAAAATACCACAAATATTAAAATAATTTAAATTCAATTCAATTCAATTAAACTGATTAATTATAAAAAAATAAATATAAAATAAAGATTATGATATTATTATATTTTATATTATCAATAATTTTTTTATTTATATCAGTATTATTATTTAATATTATTATAAAAATTTAAAAATATATAATTAATTTAATTATATATAATATTTATATAAAAATTGGGTCATAAATCAAACAACCCAAACTCAATTACATTCACAAGAATCACAAGCGTTTTTTCATTTTTCTTCTTTAGTTTAATCCAAGTCTCTTTGAAAATGTATCTGTGGCTAGATTAGATTATTGATTTATTGTACTTTATTTTCATTTCGATTTTAATTCATAATTTTTTTTTTATTTCAATTTAAATCTGTGTATTATTTTATTTGTTATGATGTTACTTTTGATTTTAAATTTTTTATTAAAAGATTTTACGTTATTTATGATTAAATTAGAATATAATTTAAATATATTATGAATTTTGATAATTTTCTTTTCCTTTTTTTTTTACATCTGTAAAATTAAGTTTTATGCTTTATGGAAAAATTTTTAAGAAGAAAAGTATCTAGTGATGGTTCAAGTGGAAGTAGTTTCAATAATTCTTCTCAACCGATATGTTCTCTATCGACACCATCAAAGATAATTGATTCATTCTTTCATTTTGGTCCATCTAATTACAAAATATCCATTTTTTTTAAGTAATTGTACAATCAACCTAATATTACAAATATCATTCCAATTTATAATATATTACACAAATATCATTACATTTATATCATATAATACTAATAAAGTTAATTTAGTCTTTTTATCTTTATTTCTACTTTATCTCAATATAATACTAATTTTTTTAAAAATCTGTATAAAAAGTAAATTGATATATAAATATAAGACGGAATAATAATTTTAATATAAATTCAAACCAATAGACTTAAAAGGTTATATGCATATTTAATTCATTAACTATAATTACATATTTGCTTAGATTTGACAACTAATCATTAGCTAGGAACTAATGATTGCGAAAATTGGGTCTGCTTTTCTATGTTTTAGGTTTGTTTGTTTTGAATTTGTTAAAGAATTTTATTTTATTCTTTTTAATAATAATAACAATTTAAATAATATTTTAGTATAATAATATTGTTAAAAATATCTTTTGCATTCACTATATTTATGTTGATTCTATTGTAAAATACATCGAGAGTGTGTTTGTTTGAAGGATTTTGGTGGATTTCCACTATTCATCCAATTTTTTCCCCTCAAAAACATCAAATCAAATACCTATTTTTTACTTTTTATATTATACTAAAAATCAATTTTACATTCAAAACATCACATCAAACCCTATTTATATCACATCATACAACTATTCAAATTCAAAATTTTTACTATTCAAATCCCAACTCAAAATCCAAACCCCCAAACAAACACACCCCAAAAGTAAAAACAAAATTAACAGGCAGAGATATTACAAAAAAATATGTATGTTTATTTTGTGTCTTAGATATTTTTTTATTGTGAATAATATAAAAATATGTATGTAAAATAAAAATAAAAAATGTATGTTATATATTAATTTTTTTTTAAAAAAAATATATATTGAAAAATCTTGTTAAAAAACCAAAAAAAAGGAAAAAATAAATAATAGTATTCCCTTTGTCCCATAACAAAATATTCATTTTTTCATTTTAGTCTGTCCCTTAACAAAGTATCCATTTTCTTTTTTTAATAACTGTACTATCTACCTAATATTACAAATACCCTTACAAGTTACAATATATTACACAAATGTCATTACCTTTATATCACACATACTAATAAAGTTATTTTAGTCATTTCTATTTTATTCTTACTATATCTCAATATAATACTAATATTTTTAAAATTAGGTGCAAAAAGCAAATAGATATTTAGTTTCGGGACGAAGGGAGTAAAAAAAATCAAACAAATCTTTATTAAATGATACTTTTTCAAAAGGTCAAAAGAATGTCTATTTAATTTTGACTATCTATCCGCACCATCTAGTTAAAAATTTCGAAGTTTAATTAAACAAATCAAATTGATATAGATATTTTAGCCGTATGCACACAAATTTATTTATTTTAATAGTTTATTGATAATTTTGTGGCGAGAGGTATTCATTAATTCAATTAATTTTAATTTAATCAAAGTTGAACTTTATAAATTCAAATTTGGGGTATTTTTTAAAAATATTTATTTTAATTTGTTTTATCATATAATAATCATAACTTTTTATAAAATATATTAATTTTTTTTAAAAAAATATTATATTTAAACAACTATCCAAATAAATAAAATAAAACAAAATTATACTTCAAATAAATACTCAAATTCTCCGCATAGCTTTCACAATATCTATTAAGATAAAATAATTTTTCTTTTTTACAATAAAAAATAAAATTTTCTTTTAAATATCATATCAAGTACTATTTAAATTAAAAGCTAAAATCAAAATTTTATAAATGAAAAAATAAATAAAAAAATAGTAAGAGTGTGTTTGTTTAGCTTTCCAACTTTCATTTCGCACTATACATATATTATTGTTTGGTGGTATATTTAAAACAGTAAATATAAAATAAAAAAGTATTTATATAATATAATATGTATTGAACATGATATTTTGTTTAGAATATATACTCTTTCCATTTTAAAATAATAATTTTATTTTGCTATTTTTATTCATCCCAAAATAATAGTCTTTTTTTTTTGTTTTTGTTAATTAACTTCTAATTTTTTCACAAAATGATCCCCATTTTTTTTAACAATAATGACATAAAATAGAGATATTTTAGTCTTTTAGAACACTTTTATCCACACTATAAATATGATATTATTTCTTAATTGTTGTGTCCATCTTAAATATCTCTACTGTTTTAGGACGGTGAAAGTATATTTTTATG